CCATCTTTCACCATATCGAAAAGGTAAATTTCTCATTTTATCCCAGGGGCAAAAGAAACTTAAAATAACTTTAGGCCAGGAGTGGTGGCTCACACCTATAATCCCAGACCTTTGGGAAGCTGAGGCGGGCAGATAACGAGGTCTGGAGTTCGAGACCAGCCTGATCAACATAGTGAAACCCATCTCTACTAAAAATACAAAAATTAGCCAGACATGGTGGCATGTGCCTGTAATCCCAGCTACTTGGGAGGTTGACGCAGGAGAATCGCTTAGACTTGAGAGGCGGAGGTTGCAGTGAGCCGAGATCCGGCCATTGCACTACGGCCTGGGCAACATAGCAAGACTCCATCTCAAAAAAAAAATTTTATATATATATATATATATATATGTATATATATATATATGTGTGTGTGTGTGTGTGTGTGTATATACACACGTACATATACACACACACATACACACACACACACATATACATATATATAAATATATAACTTTAATGTGAGACGCTTCCCATAAGCAAAATATAATATCAATTAACAACAACAATTAAAAAAAAAAAACCACAATACTTTCTAGGATTTGAGGCCAGAAAAGTAAAGTTGGTTAGTATCAACATTGTTATTCCCTTCAGGGCTTCAGGGTGTATTTCCATTCTTAAACTCTTTAATGAGTACAAACTATTTGAAAACATCTCCAGGGAGCTTTTGCTTTCCCAACCACTTCACCCTGTCCTTCTACCCTAAGCATTGATGAAGATATTTCAAAATCTCCCTTTGAGTGTATTAGAAAAGCTTAGTAACTGACTTTAGGATTACAACTCAAAAATGTTTACAAGATCTTAGATAATAGTGTATGCGCAGAAAGATGAGGAAACCTCTGACCAAGAAGTCTAGACACAGATCAAGGGCCCAGGAGGGCAGAGCCAGTCCTTAAACAATATAGACACCATGTCTTCTGTATTTACAGGGATAGCTCATAGGTACAGCCATCAGGGTTGGACTGCCTCCAAAAGCAGGCCCTACGAACTCCTATAGGCGAAGGCCTGGCAGTATACCCCACTTTCACCACCATCCTTTGAAGTAAGTTTTAAGAGTGAAGGTTATCCCACAGGCTACCAGGTAGATTTCAAATGACCTCAGGGAAAGTGGAATTCTGCCAACGGTAGAGGCAACTCCCCAAACAGTGCTAAGGTTGACAGGATCAAGGGAAGGACTTTGATATACATATATATGTATGGATAAAAGAGTTAACCTATGTAACATGAAACACCAAAAATATACCTGCTGGTACATCAAGAGTTCCTCACAAACACTTTGAAGTTACAACCTAAAATGTTCCACTTTTTACCCAAAATGTAAACTGCTCAACATCATTTTGCATTATCTACTAAACCAGAAATGAGTTTTTTAAAAAGGTTGGCTGCTATATAAAGCAAACAGTTTATGTTTTACATATAAAAAATTTATTTGCATGAAGTTTTTATGGAACTACAAAATATGTTCTCTACAACACCAAGGCTCATTAAAATATTTTAAATATTTATATACATTTATTCTGTCAGAAATACATAAAGATTTTAAATATTATATCAGTATTAAACAACAAAACCCTATTGACATACATATGAAATGCTTTATAAACAGAATAACCTACATATTCAAAACTCTTTCAAGAAATTTCTCACTTTTATTTTTCGGGGTATCGTATAGACTCAAATGGATTGAGGACTGCTTCAATTAGGACAATCATGTTTTGTAATTCCAGTATTTACAAGTGTGTATGCAATTGTACTATTGATGAAATAGAGAATAATATTTTCCACCTCTTAGTAACCTTGTAATGGAACAGAAAAATATCCTGTGTTTGCATTTCTTGCAAGAATCAGCTGTTACAAAGACACATTAGGGCTTGTTTCTTCTGTCAATGATATCTAAATGCTTTAGATGCTCAACCCAAGTGTTGAATAATAGCCTACTCTGTTTACCTGGGATGTGCTACTTCTTGAACAGGAGCTGATGATGTGTAGCCTTTCAAGTTAATGGATGAAGTAGCTCAATCAATGTAATCACCAATGCTTGAAGTGAAGAGGAAAAGAAGAAAACAGAAACATTTTTCCTATCAACCAAAATGCACATCCTTCTCACCCATCCATCATACAGTTTTGGAGAGCTAAGAGTAAAGACGACAGAGTAGAAGATGAATCCTGAGAGAGCAAATGAGAGAGAATGGATGAAAATGCCTTACCTAAAAGTGGTTCAGTACTCATAGTTCTGCAGTCAGGTCGCCACATTTTCATTTACGTTTCTATTTCCTAACTTTCTAAATTTTAAGAATCATTTCAACAGATACCACACAACACATATATACAGGATATAGTACAGCACTGGGAATCAACTTGAAATGCTCACGAGGTAAACATGAATGTAAGGCACTTTCGCGGTTTACAAAAGTGAATGCCTCAAAGTTAAATGTTTATCAAAAATGGAAAAATATCCTTATACAAGTTTATAGGAGCCCTGAAAAACCAGGTAGGTATGAATCATTAGCAATCCTGGCCAATATTTTGGGAGCCTTAGTGTGACTAAAGATCAGAGATATAATAGATAAATATCTTTTTAAAATTACAGAGTTCTACACATCAGCGTCAGGATTCTAAACTGCTCTCATAAAAACCTATCTCTTCTAAGTTATTTCATTTCTCAGCCACAGAGACTCAAGAACAGGATAACCATTCAGTGTACTGCTGTTTAGATGTAATGATGATACCATACCACATCAGTTACAAAGAGACTGGAAATAATAAAGGTTTTGAGTTTGTTTTGTTATTTCCTATGAATATTATAACTAAGAATCTTATTCAAACCACTCTAAAATGTAGATTTTGTGTATTTTCTTGAAATCATGAATTTTTAATTTCCAAATACAAATATTGTTGCTCTAAATAATGTGAGTTTTATGACTCTTCAAAATTATAAGAATGTTTGCAACCTACAATATATTTTCTTGCCTAGGAGAGACCAAATGAGCTTAGATCGTATAACACTGAAAAAATGATTTAAGAAAATAACCCATTTTTATGCCATCTTTCTGTAAATTTTTCTTTTGAGACAGAGTCTTGCTCTGTCACCCAGGCTGAAGTGCAGTGGCACAGTCTCAGCTCACTGCAACCTCTACCTCCCAGGTTCAAGCAATTCTCCTGCCTCAGCTTCCTGAGTAGCTGGGCTTACAGGTGTGTGCCAACATGCCCAGCTAATTTTTATATTTTTTTAGTAGAGACTGGGTTTCATCATCTTTGCCAGGCTGGTCTTAAACTCCTGACCTTGTGATCCACCCGCCTCAGCCTCCCAATGTGCTGGGATTACAGGCATGAGCCGCCGTGCCTGGCCCTCCAAAATTCTTAAAAAGCCAAATCTGGCCTGGTGTGGTGGCTCATGCTTGTAATCCAAGCACTTTGGAGGCCAAGGCAGGTGGATCACCTGAGGTTGGGAGTTCAAGACCAGCCTGACCAACATGGTGAAATCCCGTATTTAAAAAAAAAAAAAAAAAAAAGCCAAATCTTTTCTAGGTCATAGTTGGAAAGGACAGGTCATTAACACAGTCAGAGATTCAGGGTTGGCGAGGTGGCTCACACATGTAATCCCAGCACTTTGGGAGGCCGAGGCAGGTAGATCACTTGCCATCAGGAGTTCAAGACAATCCTGGCCAACGTGGTGTAACCCCATCTCTACTAAAAATACAAAAAATTAGCCAGGCATCATGGTGGGTGCCTGTAATTACAGCTACTTGGGAAGCTGATGCAGGAGAATAGCTTGAACCCGGGAGGCAGAGGTTGCAGTGAGCCGAGCATGGCATGGAATTTATTTTTGTCGTTTTTATTTTTTGAGACATGGACTCACTTTGTTGCCCAGGCTGGGGTGTAGTGGCACAAACACGGCACATTGTAGCCTCAACTTCCCAGGCTCAAGCAATTCTCCTGCCTCAGTCCCCAAGTAGCTGGGACTACAGGCACACACCAATCATGCCCAGCTAATTTTTTTATTTTTTGTAGAGATAGGGTTTCATTCACCATGTTGCCCAGGTTGGAATTTTTTTTTTTGGACAAGGTCTTGCTCTATCATCCAGCCTGGAATGCAGTGGCATGACCATAGCTCACTGCAGCCTGGATCTCCTGGGCTCAAGTGATCCTCTCACCTCAGCCTACTGAGTGTCTGGAACTACAGGCACTACACCCAGCTAATTTTTTGTAGAGACAAGGTTTCACCATGTTGCCCAGGCTGGTCTCAAACTCCTGGGCGGCAATCTGCCTGCCTTGGCCTCCCAAAGTGCTGGCAATTGAAGGCGTGAGCCCCAGCCCCCAGCCTAGCATTTAAAAAATTATTATTATTTTCTTGCTCTGTCACCCAGGCTGTAATGCAGTGGCTAAATCTCAGCTTACTGCAACCTCCACCTTCTTGGTTCAAGTGATTCT